GGGCGAGCTGTGCTTGGGCTCTGCAAAGAGAAAGGGCCCTGTTCACTGTCAGCACGGATCCCACCGAGCTCCCAGCTCCTCCTTCCTCCTCTCCCTATCAAATCTCCTGCTTGGACATGGCTGTGTGAGGCAGCAGCTGCACCACGGTGCTGGGCCCTGCACTAGAGCCTAGCTTATAGTCTTCACTGCCTGTGCTGGCAGAGGGAGATGGAAGGGATGTCTCAGGAGAGGCTGTGGGAGAGAAAACAAACAGAATTAACGTGGACTTGGATGCTGTTCAATGGAAAGCAGCAAACCATCCTACAAAGCCAGGAGCAGGAGCTTGGGGGATCCTGGCATGTCCTTCTTTCCTGGTGTGTGAGGAGGCACAGGGTGGACTGGCAGGCATGGCCAGTTCTCCTCAGGGTTTTGCACTTGGGGAATGCCCCCAAGTGCTCCTCAATCCTTCATCTCCTTGTCAGAGCAGAGCCTACAGCCCCACTGTACCTCCTCTAATCTTGTTTGCTGGAAAGGGGCTTAAAAACTAAATAAAAGCCACTTAAAACACATGATGCCAACATTTGTGTAGCTGAGAAACAGCAAAATACACTAAGTACACAAATACACCACAGGAGTGTGACTGGCAGAGGGAGGGAGACTGTGAGTACAGGACATTGTGGTTGTTAAATTCCACCTCCTGTTCTACTTTCCTTTTTCCACAGCCTGGTCCTGCAGGGGATAAATGCCTTAACCCACCCCCAGCAGTGCCCAGGGTGATTGAGGATGGGCTTGCATTCAGGTCCTGTTATTTGGCAGCAGCCACAGGGAACTCCTGCCATAAAGAACCATCTGTCTCCTATTGTGGCATCTCCCAGTGCTGCCAAATCCTGAGAAACACTCAATTTCTAGCCCTTTTTTGCAGCCTTGTGTTGTTTTAGTAACATCTCAAAACCCCCCTGGGTCATGCTACCATTAAAAATCCTAATTTCTCTTTGGAATCATGGAAAGAAGTCAGCCAGGGGGGCTGTGAGCTCTGATTCCTGAGTAAGATTTAAACACATATAAATAAAGAACTAAACTAAACTTACATTTACTTCAATAAACTTAAAGAACTTAAATTAATTTTAAATAAACTTTTTAAATAAATAAACTGTTAAAAAAAAGAAATAAAATTTTAAATAAATAAATAAATAAACTTTTAAAATAATAAACTTTTTTAAAATAAATAAAATTTTAAATAAATAAATAATTAAATATGAGCTGTGTCTGCTGCCCAGTTCCTCGGCTATGCTGACACTAATAATGTAAATATTGTAAAAATGGGTTGTAAATAATGTAAAAATGGTCTGTAAATAACAGAAAAAGGGAGACGTACGGTCTGGAGCAGTGTGGATCACAGAGGTCATGTTGCTTTGCAGGACATGTCCTGGCAGTGGTTCCAGGCAGTGATTCTGGTTGAGGTTGGGAGGTGCTGACTGGTACTGGAGATCAGCAGAGGTTCCTGCAGGTGGGATTGGGAAGAGACATCATTCCTGGCATAGTTCCCCACAAGATGCTCTGGGCTAAATCTTTTTCATGCAGAGGATGTGGAAGACCTCTGTGGGTGAAGGTTAATGGCTCATCCTTGCTTCCTTCCCCTGCTCTCAGCCTCTGGCTGTGTAGGAGCAGCCCCTTGGGATGTCTGGGCTTTCAGCTGCTCTCCAGCTGCCTGGGCTGTGTCCCAAGTGCTGCTCTTATCTGGATTTCCCCTAAAGTTATAACTTTTACACATTTCCAACAAAAGATGTGTTGTCTTCCCTCAACTGCCTCAGATTGGAGGCCTGAGTTGAGTCCCACACCACAGAGAGCATTCTTTGCAGAGAATCTCACCAGATTTCCAGAGCTAGACTGGAAAGAATTGGCTCTGGGGTTGGATTGGAGTGAGAAGGATCCTTCAAGCTACAATTCATCAAATTGTTTTGGTTGGAAAGGATCTCAAAGCTCATCTCATTTCAACCCATGCCATGGGCAGGGATGCCACCCACTGTCCCAGGTTCCTCCAAGCCCCATCCAACCTGGCCTTGGACAATTCCAGGGATCCAGGGGCAGCCACAGCTGCTCTGGGCACCCTTCCCATCCTCACAGCAAAGAATTTTTTCCCAACATCCCACCTAAACCTTTTCTCTTTCAGCTTAAAACCCTTTCCCTCTGTCCTCACAGAATTCACAGAATGACCAGGTTGGAAGAGACCTTCAAGACTGAGTCCAACCCAGGACTCAGGATTTCTTCTACTGGGAAGCTGAGAAGCCTCAGAGAAAAATGAAAACATTAATTATCTGATTTGCTTGTCCTGTGTTCTGCTGCTTTGGAATGTGTTTGGAGATTGTTGATCCAACATGTGAATTGTTTTGACTTAATGACCAATAATGGTCCAGCTGTGTTGGGACTCTGGAGAGAGTCACGAATTTTCATCATCATTCTTTGTAGCCTTCTGTATCCTTTCTCTATTCTTTAGTATAGTTTTAGTATAGCACAATATATAATAAAGGAATGTAATATAATGCAATATAATATAATGCAATGTAGCATAATATAATTAATATAATTATATTAATATAGTTAATATAAATATTAATTATAAATTAATAATTATAGTATATTCATATAAATAATTATATATTATGAATGATTATATTAATATGATATATTATGAATAATATAATATAAAGTAATGTAATAAAATGCAATGTAATATATAATGCAATGTAGCATAATATAATTAATATAATTATATTAATATAGTTAATATAAATATTCATTATAAATTAATAATTATAGTATATTCATATAAATAATTATATATTATGAATAATTGTATTAATATTATATTATATATTATGAATAATATAATGTAATATAATGCAATATAAAATAATGCAATATAATATAATGCAATATAATGTAATGTATTGTGATGTCATATCATGTCATATCATGTCATATCATGTATCATATCATATCATATCATATCATATCATGTCATATATCAGAATAATTTAGCCTTTTAAGAACACGGAATCAGCTTCAATCATTTCCTTCCAACCACCCCAGGAAATCCCCCATCCCTACCTCCCAGCAGCATCTCCTGCAGCAAGCTGTCGATCCTGGCCACTCCAAAGAGCTTCACAAACTGCACCTGCTCGATCATCTGCCAGGTGATGCTCTGCAGGGGCGGCAGCAGCAGCAGGATGTCGCTGAAGCGGCCCCGCGAGTCGTACTGGCGGTCGTTGATGTAATCCTCCAGGTTCACCTGCACCTGGAAGCGCATGTTCTTCACCTTGCCCGGCTCGCTCAGCCCTCTGCAGTCTGGGACAGGGGGAAATGCAGTTAAAATTACTGCCCTGTTGTCCTAGGGTGAGGTTATGATGCTTGTATTGCCATTCGTGTGTTCTGATTTAGGGCAAGTTTGGGGGGAAGCCTCTAGAAAGCAAATCCATACAGCCCCTCCCCACAGCCAGTTTCCTCAGAGAGAAGTGGAAATAACCTGTTTATTTTACAGGCAAAGCACCCCCAGCACACACAATTAACAATACAGGATGACACCACTCTGAAAAAGATGACATATTCAGAAAGTCTCTGTTGGGAGTGGTCATTCTGTTATCAGTCCATCCTGTGCTGGGGCAGCTGCTGCAGCCACAAGGTGCAAACTCTCGGTGTTTCCCAGGTCCCAGTCCGGAGCAGGCTCAAGTGGTTCCAAAAAAGGGAAAGGAAAAACAGTCCAGGGAAAAATTTGGACTGCTTAGCTAAACTAACTAATGAGCAGAAGCAAAAAGCAGGAGAAAAGCAAAAAGGAAAAGCAGCACCATGTCCTGCCCTGTCTCTGTGGCCCGCCAGCTGTGGGGGAGCAGGCTGATAACAAAACCCAAACCAAAACATTTGCTCTTCAGAGCCAGTCTTGAAGGCACAGAACATGATATCCAGCATAAACAGAACACACAAATGGGGATACAAGCATCACAGGGTCACCCCAGGACACCTGTACAGGCAGATGTTGGCCTGTCAGGCAGTGGGATAGTGAGTAATGGGATGGTTGGCTCTCACAATTAAAAAGGGAAATATCCTGTATATGTGTTAAGTAAAGTTTTATATATTTATAGCTATGTTTTACTGCCTTGTGTTGTTATCAGGGGGTGGCCTGGGTTTGGGACATTTGGGAGGGTTGGCTTGTTACTATGGCAACAGCTGACCTCCATTCAGAATTTAAGGAAGTGATCTCCACCACTGGACATGAAGGATTTGATGGACAGAACTTTGGGAGGGACTAAAAGGTTAAAAGGTGAAGCTTCCATTGTGTGGGTGAGCACATGGTGGGAAAGATCCTCTGTTCCTGGCAGCATAATATTTTCTCTATTCAATTGAATAGAGAAAAGTCTATCTATCTTCTGTTGTATTTTTCATAAGGTTTTAATAAACCTTGCTAAATTTTTTGAAGTGGGTATCACTTCTCACAGGCAGGATGTGTGCAGGGAGAAGGATGAGAAGGCAGTGATGCTCTGAGTGTCCAAGATCAGCTGGCAGGCTGGGCTGCCATTGCTGCACATCTCACATGGAACAGGGAAACAGTGAGGGGAATTGGAGGGAAACAGTAATTGGAGGAGAAACAGTAATTTGAGGAGACTTTGAAGGGAAACTGTAAGAAAATAGGAGCTTGCTCCACATGGATGTGTCTGCCTACAGCCATTAGCGAAGGGGAAAAATTTAGAAGTTAAAATATTTTTCCTTCCAAGGAAACAGCCTGGAATTTTCCCCTGAAAACTTTGAGTCACAACTGCCACCACTAAATGCAAGGAGTTTTAGTGCCTGTATGTTGTGATTACACTCACTGCAGCATCAGGTTCTTGTCTTGCTCTCCTGCCTTTGACCTGTGGTCAATCCTTTTTTTCAAGGACCACTTGTCCATCTTAAGCAAATAAATCTGTCCCTGGGTCGGGTGAAGTGCTGGCATTTGCAGCCTCCCACTCCTGCCTCTGCTGCTATCTAAACCTGAGATTTCTGGATCACTGCCCCATTTCCTTCACTGTCCGCAAGGAATCCACAGGCACCACATTTTGGGGAATGCAGTGCCGAGAGATTAGATAAAGTGGTTAACAAATGATTGTGTGTCAGCGCCAAGCTCTGAGGACATTCCTGCTCGTTAGCACGGATGAGCTTCACCTCACACTCCCTCCTTCCAGCTGAAACCTCAGCTCCTCGTTGTCACATTGATCTAAAGCTGCACACTGATCAGCTGAGAAGGTAATTTGTCAAAATCGGTTTGATGAAAGGTAATTTGTCAAAATCAGTTTGATCCCTCCTCTGTTCACAGCAGGCTTTGGTGAGCCAAAGCTCATGATGTTCCTGAAACTCCTGGATCTTGATTTTGAATCAGTGAATACAGCAAAAAACCCCCAATAATTAATGGATGATACTCTGATTTCTCCATACTAAAAGACAAAAGGGCATTGTCTGGGCTTGGGATTGTTCTCCCACCATCTCCTTGAGCTCCAGGGAGATACCCACTGGAACCTGGGCCAAGTCAGAGCCCCCTGTGCTTCTGGAATAAACACAGCAAAGCTTCAAAACAAACTGCTTTTTCTCTGTATTTCCCTGATCTCCATCCTGTGGATCAGCCCTGCCCTGAGTTGCTGCAGGCTTCCAGCAAGATCCATTAGCACATCCCTGATATTTCTGGGCACTCTGAGCAGCCCAGCTCTCTGTGGTTTCTGATGGTGCTCTCTGGACTCTCCACAATGCTGCTTGTTTGGCTCTCTCTGCTTATTATACATAATTAATGCAGGCATGTATGTCCTTAATGATCATCTGCATTTCAGGCTGATGGGCTTTTCCAAAACCAAGCTCCTACAGCAGCCAAACTCCTCCAGGGCCTTGCACATCAGCCTGGCTGGAATTCACACTCAGGAATTGCTCACTTCTGCCTTAAACCTGCACTAGTGAGCGCTGCCCATTACAGTACGGGCAGGCTGGGATGGAGAGCAGCTTCCAAGGGGTTTTCAGGATTTTGGAGAGCCCGCAGCTGCTGTGCAAGCCCTGAGAGGGAATCTCACCTGGGTCAAAGAAGATGATGGCTTTCAGGCAGGCGTACTCGTTGTCGTCGATCTGGATGTCCCGCAGGGGCTTCACCAACTCGTCCAAGATTCTGGTGGCCACACGAGCGATTTCCAGCTCTGGGCAGTGCATTGGGATGATGAAATCATTCCCTGGGAACACAAGAGGAATTCCCCATCAGGTTTTGGCTCCAGCTCTGCTCTCATCCAGCAGTTCCCTGATAGTCCCAGTGCTGTTTGCAGCAGTTTCCAGCCTGCAGTTTTATAATCTGATCTGAGAGAGAAGCAAGGCCCAGATCGCATCCCCTGGTGCTCATTTATCTCACCCACATTGTGCTCTCAGCCTGCTCCGTGTTCTGCTCTGCTTTGCCCTGTGTTACATCGAGCATCTGTTTGTAAGCAGTGCTGCACTGCTTCATTTTTGGTTTTCTTTTCTCACACAAAGTTATCCCTCTCTCTTTTCCTTAATGTGAAGCTTTTAGGGTCAGTATTCCCATTTTTCTGAGAACAATCCCACCTGTGGTGGAAAACACCTATTTTCATAATAAATAATAAATAATAAATAATAAATAATAAATAATAAATAATAAATAATAAATAATTTTCTTTTTCCTCTAAAAATGAAACACCTATTTGCACTGTAACTTTTAATAGACATTTCTGATAACTTTCCAAGTATCTATACCCAAATACCTCGTTGCTTGGACCTTGGCAATTTCAGGTACACAACCAAGACCACCCAATTTGAGATGCCATTTAAATCCTGGGGATTTCTCATCCACAATTTTGAAGCATTGAGGGAACAGTTACAAAAATCCCAGTGAATTTACTTGTTCCTTTTTTACTCCAGCACTGTGTCTCCACCCAGATGTGCAGCCCAGGAGTGCAGAGGGGATTTCAGGGGTGCACAGTGCTTGGGAATGACCTGGGAGGGGTGAATTATAAAATCAGGAGTGTGTTTCACTGCCTTACCTAACAGCAGGAAATCAGTGTATGGTATGGACCTCTTGGCCACCCCAAGGAGCAGATGTTCCCCTGCGTGAGCTCTGAGCAAGGCAACCTGGAGGAGACAGAAATGAGATTCCATTGGAAAATTCCATTGGAAAACCAGAGGATGGAGTGCTGAGCTGTTCAATTTGCTTAGGTCTGGCAGATCTACAGATAAAGTTCTGTTCAGGGCTAGAAAATATCAGTGTATGTTCACTTTGATAACTGTTACATTCATGGCAAACTAAAGGAGAATCTGTTTTCAACTAAAAGAGCAAAGAGGGTCTTTAAGTAATTTGCGTTCTTTGGAAATAATCAGATTTTATATTCAATTATTAGGTACCAGTAAAGGAAAAATCAGAACTGCTGAGCAATTTGAGTTCTTTGGAAATAATCAGATTCTATATTCAATTATCTGGTACCACTAAAGGCAAAATCAGAACTGCCCTGTGATTCAGAACTGCAGCAGCCTGACACAATCAGAATTTTTTAACTGGATCTTTTGCAGGTTGGACTGACTAAATCTATATTTTGAGGGACTTTGGCTACTGAAGTTATTTTTAACTGGTCCTTCTTTCCTCTTGTTTGTTCTCTGCAGAGGGTGATCTGCATGTTAATGCCAGATTCTCCCGTGAGAGCCCAGCTGGGAATTCCTTTCAAAGGCACTGGATTTACTGGGAAGGACCATTGGTTTTTACCTGGTCGTCGAGGGGGAGCTCACAGAAGGCTGGGATGTATTTTGCCCATTCCACCAGCACCAGGAGCTGCTGTTTCATGGATTCACACACGTCGTTGATGGTGGCAATCTTCTTCATGGCAATGTCTGCGCTGTGCACGGGGCTCAGGGGTAAATACTGAAAGAAAAACCAGTTTTGGCTGTGTCTGCACCAGTACAACGCTGTTTTATCCCCCTCCACAGCAAGGGCTCATCCCTGGGGAGGTGCTCCCGTTGTGGTTGGGCACTTTGCGCTCAGCCCATGGAGCAGCTTCCACGAGGTGGTGCTCAGTCCCAACACACACCCAGCCCTCCTCAGCCTCCTTCCCCGCTCTCCAGGACAAAAATCAACATTCCCATCTCAGCAGCACCGTGTCTCAGCTTCCCACCAATCCCTCCTGTCAGCCAAATGCATGAAATGCATCCAACTTTGCTCCCCCAAGTTCCTCTCAGCGACACAAAACTGCTTTTTTGATCTCTCCGTGGCAGGGAGAGGGTTAAAACCAATAATTCTTGAAAAGGAAGTGGGCTCATTGCTGCATGTAATGTGCAACATCTGGACCCTGTGTTTCAGTGGGGAAAGGGTATTTGCATAAGAATTTAAAGGAGACTCAGGGTGAAATTAATGGTGGGGCGTGAAATAAAAAAGCAATCAGCGTCGGCTGAAGCCCAGTGGATTTACTCACATTCTTTTTCTGCCCTGATAAAGAAGCTATGTGCAAAGATACAATCAACCATGACTGGAATATTATGTTCAGAGCAGGACAGGCTGCAGTGAGGAGGGATAAAATTCTGAGTATGCAGTGAGATTTTAGGGGTGCAGCAACAATTTAGGCTGGGGGAAGAGGGGACCTGGGCTCTGTAACATCCCTCAGCCCTTGGAATTTCAGCTTTCCATCTCCCACCAAAGGTGCACCTGCTCCCTGAGGGATATATGGCCTTGATAATGGATTTTTTCCTGTCTGCTTTTGGATATTTTACATTTTCTTTCCTGTGGGTTTGTGCAGGAGCCATCCAAGGGCAGAAAAGCCATCCAGCCCTGGCTGGTTTAGCAGGCTGGGATTGCTGAGGGCCATGGACCCGTTTGGAGGGGCTGTCCCCACGTGTCCTACCTGCTGTGCCATGGCCTCAGCCTGGGTGAGGATGTTGATGGACAGAGAGCCATTGTCCTCATAGCTGCTCCTGCGGATGCTGATCCTGTCACGCTCGTTCTGCAC